ACATGATGGTATTTTTGAAAATTTAGCATAGGATTAAGTTTTAAAAATTTTTTATTTTATTTTATTCTATAAATAAATATATTTAAGTGAGCCTTGTGCATAGGCAACCAAACATACACTGTGTTATTTGACATTTAGATGTGAAGTGGGGTTATTTATTATTTGGGATTTTAATTTAAATATAATTATAGATGTAAAATAGTAGTATATTAGTGTAAGATATTTAGTTTATATATAATAGTGAATTCTGATCTGCAAAGCCTAAATGTCCATAAGATTCTCACTAGAATTTTCTGGAAAACGTCAATACACAAGACTGTTAATCCTATTTGCATAGTAGATGATTCCAGAGCTTTCATCTATGGATGAGATAAAAAGTTTAGAACATGATTTCTTTCCAGATGATTCTGGAACCATGAAAAGATATATAAACGATGTAATTTGGAGGAAGTGGGGATTATTAAGTAAGTTACAGTTGATTTGTGAAGTTAGTAAAGTTAGAAGAAATCATTAAGTTACAGGAAGTCATTAAGTTTTAGTCAATTATTAAGTGAATTAGTTAGAAGAATTTAAGAATTAAGTTACATTAAGTCAGTCAAAAAAGGATTAAGTGAGAAGAAGTCAGTCAGTTAGGTACAATTAAGTCATTAAATTAGATTTATCAAGAAAGTTAGTTCAAGACAGTTATAATTAAATTAAATAAGAAGAAAGGATTATCTTGGAAGAAATTATTCAAGTCAGATACAGTTGGAGAGTAAATTAATTCAATATAGACATTTCAATACAGGAGTATAATATACTATATGGAGATTGCAAGAATTTTAAATTATAATATCTATATGCAATTTCACAAATACAAGGATAACCGAAGCTGATTAAGAAGATATTAAGTGGTGATTATAACTTTGATTTTGGAAAACTTTAGGCGTTCAGTGATAGAAAGGTACAAAATTTTGTTAATATAATTTAATCATTGTAAGAATTTTAAATTTAGATAGGTTGTTTTAAATTTATATTGTTTATATTAGATATATATGTCTGTTTCATACTAGTTATAATAAAGATAATTTAAAAAATATTTACAAACTAATTCTTTGAGAACCGCGATAAAAACCCTATACTCATATTTTTTATTTGAAACACTCATTGTTCATATATAAACAAAACATCATAATAATATATATATCATCATCATCATCATCATCATTATCAGCGTATTCTACCAATTATGGTGCAGCCTCCCTGACATAGTCGTTCTTCATGTCTGCCCACGACTGTCTAATATTCGCTTTTCTGTGCCATGTTGTACCGGCTTGTTTCCTTATGTCATAGTCCCATCTTAAATTTGGACGTCTTCTTGGTCTCATGACGCCTCTTGGATACCACAGAGTAATTCTAGTGGACCATCTATTGTCAGTTCTTCTTGCTAAATGTCCCGCCCACTGCCATTTTAAAGATTTTATTCGGTGGATTACATCAGTGACCTTCGTTTTCTGTCTGATCCATTCTATTCTTTTTCGATCTCTCTTGGTTATAACTAACATGCATCGCTCCATTGACCTTTGAGTGACTTTGAGTTTAGCTATTATATCTTTCTTTAGTGTCCAAGTTTCGCAGCCGTATGTCATGACTGGTAGTATACATTGATCGAATGCCTTTTTCTTCAGGTGGAGTGGCATCCTAGATTTGAATATAACTAAATTTTTACCAAAAGCTGCCCAAGCCAGTTTCATTCTTCTGTTGATTTCTGGGAGTAATGAGCCAGATTTATGTATTAATTGTCCCAGGTATATATACTCGTCTACTGTCTCCAGTGCAGTATTATTTATTATTACATCTTGGACATCCACTAGCTCGTTGTACATGGATTTTGTTTTTGTCAAGTTCATTTTTACGCCAACTTCATTGCTAGCTGCATTTAGGTCGCTTATAAGTTCTTGTAGTTCTGCAGGATTTTTAGCAATTAGAACGATGTCGTCTGCAAATCTTAGATGGTTGAGGTATTCTCCATCAATGCATAGGCCTTTGTTTTGCCAGTTCATTTTGCTGAATATATTTTCCAGAGTTGCAGTGAAGAGCTTTGGTGATATAGAGTCTCCTTGTCGGACGCCTCTAGTAGTGGGAAATTCTGGAGTGTTTTCATAAATTTTTACCTTAGCTTTTGCTTGTCTCTATATATTTGCTAAAGTTTCTATGTAAGGTTTGTCAATGCCTTGGTTGGTCAAAGCTTCTATTACTGCCTTGGGATATATAGAATCGAAAGCCTTCTCGAAATCTATGAAGGTTAATGCTAGCGGTATTTCATATTCTGTAGCTCTACTCATTAGTTCTCGAAGCGTATGGATATGATCCATAGTATTGAATCCACTTCTGAAGCCAGCTTGCTCTCTTGGCTGTGCAGCATCTAATGCATTTGTTAATCTGTTGTTGATGATTTTTGTGAATATCTTGTATATGATTGGTAGTAGACTTATAGGTCTATAGTTTTTAATCTCCTCTTTATTACCTTTCTTATGGATCAAAATTATGTTTGCTGTATTCCAGTGGTCTGGTATGCATCTTGATCTTAGACAGTTCGTAAATACACCTGCTAAGATGTTCCACGTCTTTTTGCCAGCGTATTTAAGCAGTTCCACTGTTATGCCATCAATTCCAGCTGCTTTACCGCTTTTCATTTTTGAAATTGTCGATTCTACCTCTTCCGGAAGGACTTCTGGTACATCTTCGTGGTTACTGATTGCTTCTTCAAGCGTTTCAGGAGCTTTGTATAGTTCGCTATAGAATTTAGTCACGAGTTGTATTATTTTATTTCTGTCTGTAATTTTGGTGTTTTCGTTTGTTAGAGCCACGATTTGCTTCTTCCCAATAATTAATGCTTTTCTTGTTTTCATATAGTTCTTTCTGTTTTCGATTGCATTTTCTACCAGCCTTTCATTGTATTTTCTTATGTCTTCCTTAATACCTTTTCTTATTGTCTTACAAAGTTCTGTGTATTGTATTCTCTGTACGTTGCTAGTTACTTTCATTTCCCTTCTTTGTTTTAGCATTGTTTTCGTTTTATTAGATAGTTTTCTATGTTCGTTTTGCTCTTGCGGGCCTCCGATTTCTTTGGCACTATCAAGGATGATTTGCATTAATTGAGAGCTGTCGATTTGATCATGTAATCTTTCATCAATTGTCCTTTGATACTGACCTAAGTTTTCTTTTAGATTACTAATATTTATACCGGTTATTGTTGGTTTTGCGATTAATTTTATTCTTTCTAGTTTTAGGTCTAGAACAATTTTTGCTCTGAGTAGTCTATGGTCGCTGCCTGTTTGAAATTTATTTATTACACTGACGTCTTTTATTGTAGCAATCTTGTTGGTTAGAATGAAGTCAATTTCGTTCTTAGTGATTCCATTTGGTGCTACCCAAGTTCATTTTCTGTTCGACTTTTTCTTAAAGAATGTATTTGCAATAGGCATATTTTGGTAGTGAGCAAACTGAACCAGTCTTTTTCCCCTTTCATTTCTCTCACCGACTCCATACTTTCCCATGACTTGTTCTTTGTCGTTTCTCTTTCCTACTTTGGCATTAAAGTCACCAATTAAATACTTAAAGTGGCTTTTGTTGTTAGTTAATGCTTCAGTTATGTTACTGTAGAGTTCTTCTATTTCTTCGTCAGAGTAAGTAATTGTTGGGGCGTATATTTGTATAATTTGTACAGTATATCTCCTTGATAGTTGTAAAGTTAAGCTGGCTACTCTATCCGAGATACTAGTTATTTCTACGATTCTTCGTTTCCATTTTTTGTTGATCAGGAATCCAATACCACCTGTTCTGCCCGTTAATGTTCCTCGGTAGTAGAATGTGTTTCCTGACTCTAATTCCAATAGTTCTTCATCTTTTCGTCTTACTTCACTGATTCCTATGACGTCCCATTTTATATGATCAGTTTCTTTTTCCAGTTCTACAAGTCTGGATTGATTTGATAGCGAGCGGCAGTTATATGTCGCTATATAAAGTGTTGTTGTTTTATTTGGGTAGCGGTTTAAACTCCGCAGATTCTTAGCACCCTCTATATATATATATATATATATATATATATATATATATATATATATATATATATATATATATATATATATATATATATAATCCTGAACTTGTTGTATTTCATCCTGTCCGATTCTCATTGTGATGTCTTCATCTGTATTTGTTATGGTTTTGGTCTTACTGTAATTCATATTAACGTCCAGTTCTTTCATCATTTCAAATAAATCGGTCATAATGTAGAACTCTGATAAACGCTATTTGTTCTGAGTAAAACAAACATTGAATGTTTATTTTTATTCCAAAAGTATTTTAATTCGAAACATTTTAAAACGCAGAGTTAAATTTTATAAAGGGCGGCATTTGAAATACATGAACTTAACTTTATAGATTTTTTTGAACCGTTACAATATTATTGGCTGACTATTTATTAAGCATCTTACTCGGTCATGGAAATAAAAACAGTCAAGTACCTTATGACAAATTAAACTAAGTCCTTTATAATATGCAGTGAAATCGATGTGATAAAAACGAATGCATTAGTTAAGTAACCTCAGGGAATGGTTAGCTTGCAATTCGATTCAACTGTTCCGAGCAGCAGCCTTCAGAATTACCGTGATGATAGTCAATCTTCGTAGCGGTGATGAAACATGAAGAAAAAGCTATTAATAGCTAGAAGCATAATAATAAAAAAAGATTATATAACGCTGTATGGTCGTAATAAAGAATTTTGTAATGATCTCTATGTGCTAAAGAGAGTTGTAGAGGTTAATTTATATATCGTTATTTAATATATTTTTAAGATTGCTATAATTTTAGAATTTATGATGATAATATATTTAGAACTTCACTAACAGCAACATTAAGTGTTTAATATACTGGATAGAGATACCACATAATATTAACAGGTGTAAAATTAATCAGTAATGTTCATCAAAAAAGTATTTTATGTTCTATAATTTCAGGTTAAATAATTTTATGATATCAGTGAAAAAAGACAATACTGCTTGGAAAAAGTTTTACGATTCGTCTAATCCCAATGAACTTCCATGTCCAGCTCCGTTTAACAATGTACGAGGATTACAAAGATTGGTCCTAATACGTTGTGTTCGACCAGATAAAGTTGTACCAGCGGTTCAGGTAAATATATTTCGCGGCATAAGTTAGGGATATTGCCAATATAATTGTAATGTTACTTCATTTTTCTGCATCAATTATTTGTAAGTTACCAATTTAAAATAATTATAGTTTTTAAAAAACATGAAAATTTGAGTGGTTATAAAAATGAATCAAACCAAAAAAATACATTCTAAGTATTGATAAAGCACCTCCGATTTTCGCTTTCATTCCATGGTTCTCTACTCCATGCCATACGTTTCCATGTTAGTCTTCTTCTGTTTCTTTATGTACCATGTCCTTTCAGAACGTCGGTTACCATCATAGCTATCTTAATTTTATTTACTGTCACCCTAAATAGCATGCTTGTATCAAAACCATACCAATCTCGCAAGTTCTTTAACCATGAGGTTCTTCTTCGTCCTAGTAACGAGATGTTGGTCCTGTAACACATTTAATGACATCACTCTTATAGAATGAAAACGACGTTTATCTAACAGCCGCATATCAAATTGTTAATAACCGAATACTTCTTAACAAAATGTACAAAACACCGAAAAGTTTCCAAATATTTGAAGTCCTTCAATAAATTCTGACTAACCCATGTTCCCATGTTGAGTTCCAGGGGTAAACAAGTAATTGCCCAAAAAAACGGAGTACCATAACTAGGATTACTCACGCCAGTAGTTTTCAACATATACACTAATGACCAGCCGATCAGCAACGCATCAGAAACATTTATTTATGCTGATGATCGTACAACCGCCTATCAATCTAGTGATGCAGTGAGAAGTTTTGAGAAACTACGCTAATTCTGAAACTAAGCGTTCAGGAAATTGGAAGGATGTGTAATCTTAAGGAATTCCAGACATGAAAGCCTAGTAACTTTACTGGTGTGCTACTCAAGGGTACCAAAGGAAACCAGATTTTGAATATGATACACTTTTCCAATCAGGTACACCCTTACAATCAGCGTTCGTTACTCTCCGTTATGCTCTGAAAAGGGCTCATATTTTTGATCGTACAAATATAGAACCCAAAGTATACAAACGTGAAGATCTGTACTAGTATAAATTTAAGTAACAAGGTAAATACGACGTTTAGAAGCAGAAGCAGATATGACTAAACAAGCAAAATTGGCGTTTGGAAAAAGCCTATTCGCGGTATGTTTTAGTCAACTACGTCTGACGAACGACGGGCCATGCAATTGTCACATTTGCAGAGCCAATTGATGAGCCACAAGCTTGAATCGTTGTCAACATACTACAAGGAAAATTAGCTGCATCAAAATGCACAAAAAATACAAATTACTCTCTTTCATTTAAAAAAATAGAGAAGCTACAAAAAATCTTAACATTTAATGGAATTGTAACATTGTCTATTTCCTAAGTACCTCGGAGTGATCCTAGATACAACATTGAGCTACAAACAACACATTGCAAATACTTAAGCTAAGACTCAAACTAAAAATAATGTGCTACAAATACTAACATTGTCTAGATGGGGAGCTTACCCAAGTGTATTACGAACAACAGCACTCTGCCTATTAACAGTAGAATATGCCTTTTCTGGTTTAAAGCAATTAAGTCACACTGATAAAATAGGTAATGTAATAAATAGGAGATACCGATTGCCTTCTTGGTGAACCAACCAGAGATGGTTCAGCCAGAGACATACTCATCGTAAAGCATCGCTCCTCCAGTTATAAGAAGCCGCACATCATGGCAGAACGAATTAAACATAGACATGGAAAACACTGAATAGACTACGTACATATGTCGGAAGACCTAAAAAAATATGATATTCTGGAGAATACATTGAGGGAGATGACAGCTGTGTGATCCAATCAATGAGTCACCAATTGCAGTGTCGTTTTGTAAACTGTGAGCACGAGTGCTTTGATGCAGACTTATTAGAATGAATCGACTTAGCAGTTGCTTTTGTCAACGATTGGTTAAACGAAATATGAAAGTTTTATTTTTTTAATCCATTTTATATGGACTTACATCTAGTTTATTGTATTTTAATTCTAAATTTTAACTCTGCTGTACTTTATTTTTACTTTAAGTTGTTTTAGCTTAACTGTAAGGTATATAAGCTGAGTGCTTCATACATTAAATATTTACAGTATTTGGGATTTTTCTTATGATCTCTTCACTCCCTAAAGTCTACCTTAACTGCTCATTTCTCTGTTTCATCCATCATCTTCGAAATATTACTTAGTTCTATTCTACTTCCAATTTTAGTGAAGCTGCTTGACGTATTTGACTTTTTCTCTCTAGTTGACAAATTAGTGTATTGTTCTCATCATTTACCTGCCATATTTCTTTAAGATTAGCTCTACTTCTCCAAATTTGTTTTGATGAACAGTTCTTGCTTGTTGTTTTTTCATTGATGGTATTTTCCATATCTCTTTCGCTTATTCTGAGCATTACTTCTGAGTTGACATTTGTTATGATTCTTTTAGATTATATTTTGAAGAAACAGGTGGTTATACGTTACGTTTACATGTTTGATTATAATTTGGACATCCTACCAAAGATGTTTTAGAATATTTTTATTGTTAATGTCATAATTACAATTTTCAGACTTACGTTGTGGAAGAGATGGGACCATCTTATCTAGAACCACCTCAATTTAACCTTGAAGAATCTTACAACGACAGCAACGCTTGTTCACCTCTCATTTTTATTTTGTCTCCTGGAGCAGACCCTATGGCTGGATTGGTTCGTTTTGCAGCAGACAAAGGAATTAGTAAAACGTCATTAATGACAGTGTCTTTAGGACAAGGACAAGTAAGAATAAGTACAGTATTTACCATAAACATTGTACTAACTTAATAGGAAAGAAATAAATTTTTACTTTTATAAACAGTTCCAAAAATACAACATAAAACATTTTTTCTGTTTCTTACACTAGGTTCGTGTAAATGATTACTTATTTTAGGGACCTATAGCATCTAATATGATTTCTACCGGTCTTGAAACTGGACAATGGGTTGTACTTCAGAACTGTCATTTAGCTGAAAGTTGGATGAGAGAATTAGACAGGATTTGTGATGAGGTTATTATTCCCGAGGTCACCAACCAGAATTTTAGGCTATGGTTAACGAGTTATCCTAGTAAAGCTTTCCCAGTGTCGATTTTACAAAATGGTACGTTTTTTTAATGTTATAGTCAAATGATGTACAGCCAGTCACAGCATGCTAATATTTTTTAAACAATAGATTGTCTAATATAATATCAAACGATAATATACATTATAAATGGACTAATTGGACTAAAACACAAGGATTAAAACAACGCGACGGACTAGCTCCAACGCTTTTCAATCGTGTTCTTAAATATGTAATTAGACAATTGACGGTGAGCAGAAATAACACATTACAAACAAATCCATCCAATTGGTATAGTACGTAGAATACACTGCGGCTATTAAAATAGACAGGACACGTGGTCCGGATGCTTGATAATAGAATTCCCAGTTACGTCACGCATTCAAAAGGAAAAAGACCTGTTGAAAGACCAAAAAGAGATGGAAAGATATATAGATGAAGATGCCAAAAACCTGCTAAACACGGTAAAAAATAACAGCAGTAAATCGAGAACTTTGTAGAAGATTAGGTACTGAAGGAGACCGACTTAATGGATCGATGATGTTATGATTATTAATATTATTTTTTTATGTTCTCTTTTCAAGTACCAGTTTTCCGATTATTTGGTCAACAAATCCTGGTTATTAACATATTATCTTTAAGCTGAAGGAAAACCAGGCATGCCTTCTTATATAGCGTATCTAATACACCAACTTTTAGTTCTGCTTTCCGGACAGTTGCCTCAAGACCTTGGTGAGGTGTGTCTGTGTGCGATTTCTATTTAGAGTTATTGTTGAGGTTAAATTTAGTTCTGGGACATACAGAATCCCACGCATGGTACACAGAGCTATGAGTGAAAGAAGTACTCGGAGCACCAGATCCAGATCAAAATCATGGAGATTTTTGTTCGAAAAGTGTTCACTACACTGATTCAGAAAAAGATGACGGGAAGGAGGATCTTGCTGAGGAAGTTATAGGATGTTACAACGATGATAAAGTTCCCTATTATGTTGGCCAACATGCTGGAGAAAAATTTGTTCACCACAAATTAGAACTAGAGTACATAATATATTCGAAATAAAACCTCTCATATACATTGCAGCAAATGCCAAAACCATAACAGAATGTTTTAAAGTTTTTATTAGCTACAACCACAAGCTAGAATATTGTAAAAATAGTATCTAATTCTACAAATATATACATTGAAAATATCAAGCCCAAGTAAAATCATGAACGATATGTTAAACAAACTGATTAACGTGAAATGGGAGCTCTATTTGGAATGGTATATCTTCTAGGAGTTAGTAAATTAGACAGATAAAACATAAACGATTTTTGAAGAACAAACGGTAATGGGATGGACGCCATGTATTGCACGATGTCTTGCTAAGCACTTATGTTGCCTAAGCCTTGATGATGTCAATAGTCGTCAGGAGCGAAGGGAAACCGATAAGTTGGCATCAATACGAGATATTTATAGGAAATCTGGACCTGATTTTACAATTGATGAACATCTTTCTTCGGTAGATGCCCGTTTAGGCAGTACATACTTTTAAAACCTGTTAAATATGGCATCAAGGTCTTTGCGTTAGTTGCTTCAAGTGATATGTTTACTGTGAACCTTGAAATATATGCAGAAACTCAACCAGAAGGCCTCTTTCGACTATGGAATAGCTCATCGGATGTTGTCAAACGACTTAGTAAGTTCTATAAGGGAAATATACTGTAATATAACTATGGAAAGCTAGCTATACAAATAAACAATAAATTGAAGCTAACTATGCTCGGAACAGTAAAGAAAAACAGTTTTCATTTATTAAAGACTGCACGCTTGTATCTTTTGTCTCACGAAAAAAAATCTCCTCGTCCTATCAACAAGCCATACAAATGACAGCATAGACAAGAATACTGGCAAACCAACAATGTTAGTGGACGAAAGTGGATTCTAAGTTCGTTGTCGATGTTGTAGATCAAATATACGGTCGTTATAATGCCACCGGAAACAGTACGAGATGGTCCTTAAGTATTTTCTTTGATATTATATATTTCTTTGAGATATATATATATATATATATATATATATATATATATATATATATATTATTTACGCATGAAGTCGCAGATAACAAAGATATTTTGCGCTCCTAATGTTTGGAAACAATCCAAAAAAATGCGTATTTTATTTGGAACCGAAGAATACTTAGAACAAGATTCAACTTCTGCAGAAACAACTACATCTCAACCAAAGAGGACCAAAACAGGAAATGGTCGATGCTACATAATACGTCTTTACACAGACAAAAGGATAAGGGACTATTGGTCTATCAGCAACAATTGGATCTACAAAGAACATCCGAAAGAATTACCGGTCATCTTCTTTAAATGCGCAACTGAAGACGATGAATGATCTGGTTGCCAGTTTGTCCATTTTTAATTTTTGAAATGTATTTATTCGGGCCTCCCCGGTCGTCATCACACGAAATCCCTACAATTTTAGAAGTACGACAACTTTAAAAATGTCTAGCAGTACAATCAGATTAGGTACCTGGAACGTGAAAAGCCTTTATGCAGCAGGCAAGCTCAGTAACTTAGTTCACGACGTTAAATGTTTAAAAATTGATATAATGGGCATCAGTGAGCTTCGGTGGCCTGGAACGGGAATATGTGAACAAGATGAAGGCACACTATACTATTCTGGAAGTGCAGAAGATGACACACATCATAGGAATGGAGTTGGCTTATTTATAACGTCTAAATTTAAGAAATATGTGAAAAATTTCATACCAGTGAACGACAGACTAGCAATACTCCAATTAAATTTAATGTCAATGTTATCCAGATATATGCCCCTACTGCAGAAAAGAAATATGACAATGATGTCGAATCATTCTATAGCCAATTAAAAGAGACACTAAAAAATCTAAAAAGTAACGAAGTCACATATATTATTGGAGGTCATATATATTAGTCATATGAAGTCATATATATTATTTAACGCAAAAATTGGCCAAGGCCGAAGATCTGACCTGGTGGGTAAATATGGACTAGGGGAGAGCAATGAAAGAGGCAATAGATTATACCAGTTTTTTCAAGAACATGACATGATAATCGCAAATACATGGTTCAAATTACACAAAAGAAGGTTATACATATGGAGGGGACCAGGAGATAATTCACTACATATGATTAGAAATCAGATAGACTATATTCTGGTAAACAAGAGATTTAAGAATGGCGTCACCAGAGTAACGACATATCCTGGTGCAGATATTGGTTCAGACCATAACCCTGTAATACAAAGACCAAAACACCAAAAGTAAATATCTCAATATCCAACAAAACGTTAATAGAAAATGACTTAAATAATGAGCTAAAGAAATCAATAAATAAAAACAACACAGAAATATGGAACACAGTTAAAGATCTTACCTTGAAAGTAATAGAAAAATATTCAACAACGTTACACAGGTACAAAAAACAACAATGGATGACTGATGAAATCCTGGAATTAATGAAGCAGAGAAGGAAACTGAAAGGTAACAAGACAGAATATAAGGAAAAACAAAAACTAATTAAACAAAAAATAAAGGTGGCTAAATAAAAATGGATGGAGGATAAATGCAAGGAATTAGAAAAGTTGAATGAAAAACATGATACGTTTAATATGTTTAAAAAAGTTAGAGAAGTAGCTGGTCTTTATCATAAGAAAACTCCACATACTATAACCGATTCGTCGGGAAAAATAATAATAGACGAACATGAAGTTCGAACAACCTGGGGTAATTATATAAGTGAACTGTATAATGATGATAGACCCGAAGAACCGGAGACTTTAATTGAAGGTGAAGGACCAGAAATACTAAAATCAGAAATACTGCATGCTATAAAGTTAGCAAAGAACAAGAAAGCCGTTGGCCCTGATAACATACCGACAGAGATGTTAAAGCTTATATATGAGGAGAACATTGGAATCCTGGTCAAACTTTTCAATGATGTTTATTCGACTGGTGATATTCCTGAAGATTGTTTAAAGTCCGAATTCATAACACTACCCAAAAAAAACAACGTCCGAAAAACTGTAGCGATTATAGAATGATAAGCCTTATGAGCCACACTTTGAAAATATTTCTACGCATTATCCACAATAGAATCAGAGATAAATGTGAAGAAGATCAGGATGAAACACAATTTGGCTTCAGAAATGGACTGGGAACTCGGGACGCCCTCTTTGCAATAAATGTATTATTGCAGAAATATCGACATCAAAGGAAAGACGTCTTTGCTGTATTTATTGACTATGAAAAGGCCTTTGATCGAGTAGAGCATCACAAATTAATTACAATATTAAAAGATAAAGGAGTTGATAGTCAAGACATACGATTCATAGAAAAGTTATACTGGCGTCAAACAGCGACAGCTTGCATACACGGAAAATCAACAAAAATATGTAAAATACAAAGAGGTGTCAAACAGGGTTGTATACTATCCCCACTGTTATTTAATTTATATTCAGATAGAATATTTAAAGAAGCGCTGCATAATTTGGAATGGGGTGTGAAAGTTAATGGAATTATGATAAATACAATCAGATATGCAGACGATACAGTTGTTTTAAGTGATGACATGAATGGATTATAATGCCTTTTAAATGCCATTGATAAAGTCGGAAGAGAGTTTGGCCTAAACATAAACTGTTCAAAAACAAAACACATGGTGTTTAGCCGTTTAGCACATCAAGATGCACGATTATATGTTGATGGTCATATAATTCAAAGAGTGTCCAGTTTTAAATATCTTGGTTGCCATATTACTGAACAACTAGATCTAGATCAAGAGATAAAATGTAGAATCGAGATAGCCCGCACGACATTTTTAAAAATGAGGTCATTTTTCTGTAATAATAACTTGCAACTTCAACTTCGAAAGCGCATGGTTAAATGCTACATTTGTTCAGTACTCTTATACGATGTCGAAGCATGGACATTAAAAATATCCACGATTAATCGTTTGGAGGCCTTTGAGATGTGGCTGCACAGACGTATACTAAAAATTCCATGGACGGCTATGCTGACAAATGTGGCAGTCCTTGAAAAAGCAAATGCTGCTCGCGAGCTGCTTGATAACATCAAATGTAGAAAGATGGCCTATTTTGGACACGTAGTAAGGGGAGACCGATATAATAGTCTTCAACTTATTATGATGGGTAAAATCGAAGGACGCAGAGGAATTGGTAGAAAGCAGGCCTCTTGGTTGAAGAATATCAGGGAGTGGACAGGAATAGAGAAAGCTGAGGAACTATTTAGAATAGCTCGAGACAGAAACAGTTTCGCCATGTTAATCACCAACGCCAAGGGGACTTGATAGGGCACGTTAAGAAGAAGAAGAAGTATTTATTCGCTTTTAAGAAAATTGTCTCATAAATATTTAAGAAAAACAAACGTTATTTTATATTAAAATGGCAATTGAATATATATTTTAGACCTGATTTATTCTGGGACACACATGTAACCCTCGCGACAGCTCATGTAACAAGTTGTTATGCAAGTAATCCAGGTTTAAAGGCATCCATTAGATATCAAGCTTCATGACGTTTGGATAGTTTTCTTTCTCATCTGAGTTCTATACAAAGATTTAATATAGTTATTTTTAAATGAAACTTTAATCTTAATTTGGAAAATAAAAACTTTTTTCTGGTGTCTGATCTTAACAGCAGCAGTAGACGGAGAAGCAGAAAAATACTAGGGGGAAGTCAATTGACAAAAACTATATTTTTTAATGACTGTCAAGAAGTATCGTCTACTTGCTTTAACAACTTAAGAACAGGGTTTGAATATAGTTTGACTAAAGTTGCCAAGCAAATCAACAAAATGAACGTAATAAAAGGATTGCCTTAACAATAACACAAGTATTATCTAGATATTTTTAGGTTTTTATTGTAACGTTCATTGTAATAACTTTGTTATTTTTTTATCTGTAGTTAAGTTTACTGATTTTTATTTTATTTTTTAATGTAAATGTAAAATAAAAACCTATTCTTATAATTTTACAGGAGTTAAAATGACAAATGAAGCCCCTAAAGGACTACGGCAAAATCTCTTAAGATCATATTATTCCGATCCTATATCAAACCCAGATTTTTTCGGTGCCTGTACCAATCAAAAAGCATTTAGAACTCTATTATTTGCCTTATGTTTCTTTCATGGCATTGTTCAAGAAAGAAGGAAATTTGGCCCACTTGGTTGGAACATACCTTACGAATTTAACGAATCTGATCTCCGAATCTCCGTTATACAGTTGCAGGTAAGATTAAGGAGTTTTATTCTTATCTCTACATCCTCGTAAAAACTTGATTGAATTTTGACAATTATATTAAATAATATTAAATGTTTGTCAAGAATATATGAACATATATGAATATATGAAAATATTTATACCTCTGTTTGCAACGGAATTATATGTAGTACCAAACGGCTAAAATATATATATTGTGGCTAAACACCCCGTACGGGGTTACGCCGCTTAAGCTCTCTAGATCTATTTTACGAGGTAGATCAGTCCTCATTTTCTTTATTTAATTTTTCTTGTTATTTTTCTCCACTGTTTCCTATCTCTGGTTTTTTCTCTCCATTGTCGTACGCCCGCCCTGTTGAGATCGTTTGTTACTTCTTGTAGCCATGTAGATCTTGGTCTTCCACGTCTTCGTTTACCAGCTGGTGTCCATTCCAATATTGAGAATATTGTCGTAGAAGGTCCTGATCTCCATATATGTCCTAGCCATTTTGCCCTTTGCTGTTTTATTTTACAAACTATATCCTCTTTAATTTCGTTTAGTAGTTCATGATTCGTTCTTTGTCTATATTGGATTTCATTTATTTTTATTGGTCCTAATATTGCTCTTATTATTTTCCTTTCTAGTATTCTAAGGTCTTCCTCTTGTTTTTTTGTCATGCTAAGGGTTTCGGCAGCATACATCATAGTCGGTCGAATTATTGTTTTATATATTTTCATTTTCGATTTTTTGCTCAGTAATTTATTTTTTAGAAGCTTTTTATTTGCATAGTATGTCTTATTTGCTGTAATTATCCTTTCTTTAATTTCTGTTTCCCTTTCTCCATTGTTTGCTAATAATATTCCCAAATACTTAAACTTTTCTACTTCTTCAAATATATATTCTCCCAGTCTAACCTTTTTGTTTTCAGATTTTTTGTCAAATCTCATTATTTTTGTTTTTTCTTGATTTATTACTAATCCCATTACTTTCCCTTTTGCTACCAATTCTTTTAACATACTTTCCATTTTTTTCTGTTCTTTGTTATTATCACAATATCGTCGGCATACGCTATTATTTGTCCCTCTCTCGTTCTAAGTGTACCTTTGTTGATTTTTCTGACTATATATTCCAGGGCAAGATTAAACAGAGTTGCAGATAATGAATCTCCTTGACGTACACCTTTATTTATAACAAATTCTTCTGTGTCTCCTTCTTGTGTTTTTACAGTTGCTACGGTTTTGCTCATTGTCATTTTTATTAATCGTCTTAATTTGTTGTGTATTCTCATTTCTCTCATAGCTGTAAGCAATTTCGCTCAGTTTATTGAATTAAATGCTTGTTGGAAGTCTATAAAAAGTAGTTCAATTTCTGTTTTATATCCATAAGCTTTCTCCATAATTTGCTTTACCGTATGTATGGCATCTGTTGTTGACTTTCCCCTAATAAATCCGCATTGATATTGTCCCATAATATTTGTTGTCGCTTTGGCCAGTCTTCGTTGTATTAAGGTTGACATGATTTTATACGCTGTGTTTAATAATGTCAGTCTTTGTCAGTAATGGTTTGGCGTTAATTCTCAGGTATGCCATGCGCTCATTTATTGGTTTAAATTGCATAATATTATTTTGTATTTTTCCTGTAGTTATAAATGCAACTCCATATTGACCTTGTTTTTCTTGCCCAGAGTAGTGTAATGTGTAATTTTTTTTATTTATTTCTCCTTGACCTGCCCATCTAATTTCTTGAATTGCTGCCACATCAATTCCATATCTTTCCAGCTCTGAGACAATCTCTTGCATTTTTCGGCTAAAATAATCTTATGAAATATTCTTTGCACGCACAACATTTTATACTTCTGTTAATCCTTCCAACGTTATCAGATTTCAATTAGGTAAACAAATGTGTTGTAAATGGGTTAATATATAATTTAAATAACCCATTATTTTAAAAAGGGAATACCTTGAAATTCCCTATTCCCGGTAAGGACACACACAGCTGATTAAAAATATTTGGATTTGTTTTGATGGTTAGATTTCTAATATGTAGTTTTCAAAAAATTCTCACATCGTACTACTTATCGATCAGAAGATTGCAATTTTTGCAAATTTTGATTCAAACTCGCAGGCCCAAGCCCTTGAACTTTATTCTAGAACGTTTCTTAAAAATTCCATCTGACGTAGAGCTCAAACTTTCAAACCATCACTATACCGTCCAAAAAAATTTGAGCGATGTCTTCACGATAAACAACGATTAAGTCCTCACATAATAATTACAGAACTGAATAGAGTAGATTATCCAGTTTTTAGATAATATAGTAAAACAATATACAATAAAAGGCAAATATTACGAAAAATGATGTGTTTTTATATTAATAATAAAATAATAAACTTGTTTTCTAGATGTTTCTTATAGATTACACTGACGTCCCTTATGATGCTTTGACCTATTTAACAGGAGAATGCAATTATGGTGGCAGAGTTACTGACGATAAAGATAGAAGATTACTAAACTCACTGCTTTCCATATTTTACATCCCAGATACAGTTACACAACCAAAGTAAGTTTAATATTGGATATCAAAAGGTAAACTTTGTCGAAAGAGCTTTAAGTTAGCACTTTTAATAGCTGTAGCGATCTTCTTTTTGGTGTATCTATCCGTGAGGATTGTTGGCGATCATCGTGACAATCATTAGCTTGTTTGCAGCAGCACAGAAAAGCTGTACAGATATTGTGTTGAACCAGGTAGTGAGGTTCTTTAACCAGGATGGTCTTCTTCTTTCTAGACCTCGCTTTTCGAATATTTTTCCTTGGAGAGTGGTTTGTAGGAGGATACATCTGGATTCATTTCGTATAATGTGTCCAAAGAACTGTAGTTTACGAAATTTGATGGTGATCAGTACCTCTCGCTTCTCTGAGTACCTGTTTCTTTGTGTTAGCTTTATGTAGACTGACTATTGTATATTTGATGATGCCATTCGATCAGAACAGCATTAAATTTACCGTAACGGTTGACTAATGACTTGCAATTAAATACTAAGGAAAAATGGTTTTATATTGTTTTAGGTACGCATTTTCCCCAAGTGGTATGTATTATGTCCCATCAAATAATACTTGGGAAGGTTGTTTAGAATATATTAGAAGTCTACCTATCAACGCGTTACCAGAAGTTTTTGGATTGCATGAAAATGCCGATATTACTAAGGATAATCAAGAAACTCAAGCCGTAAGTATCACAAATTGTTATGGCTACTAGAAATTTATCTTTTATTCTTGCTGTTCTTATAATTCAACTGTATATCATATTTTTTGTTATAAAGTTTACCTATAAAGTTAGTCTTTATTTTAAGAAAAATTGCTGGTCTTGTTTCATATTTATGTGTCAATACCGTGATTTAAACAGGGAAAACTAAGTCGATAGTGATATTATTGGAATAAAGTACATATAAACTGGTTGTAAACAACAAATACTAGGTGATGAAAAATCAAATATTTGGAAACTAGTGAATAAGGCAAATAGAGTAGCAGGATATCTAAACAATGCATATGGCGCAACAAATACTTCAAAATGAAAATGAAAACTAGGGTATATAGGGTGTTCCTTTACGAATTGTCCATATAGTAACTGGAGAAACCTTAGCACAAAATACAAAGATTTAACCTAAAACGCTTATATAAAATATTCCTCCTGATCGAAATACATAATGTTTTATTACAAATATTCTAAAATGATTTAAGCGCATTGTTTTAACACCATCCAATATTTTTTGTTCAAACTTGACAAGTAGTTTACACATGTTAAAATACACTACTGTAACTAGTGTTATAGGATAGTTTTCCGCTTTTACCAGAGGAGTGCTGTAGGGATGGATACTTCGTTTCTGTCCCTTACAATCTACGCTTCTGTCGTAATAATCATTTCAGTCTGTTTTTGATTCTTCATTACCTTTTATGTAAAAATCATCATTTGTTCTGGATGCGGTAGAGTAAGTAGTTTTCAAGTTATTTGCGTTTAGAGGTTATATTTGAAATAAATAATCTTATTTTTTGCTTATTTCACATGAGTGTCTTTAATAATAACCAAGTTGCTAATAAACTTGGTTAATTCTAGTCATGAATATTCATAAATCTTTAGTAGTTATTATGTTTTAACTGTTGGGCATATGAAATTACTGTTTCAGAACCTTTAAAACCATATAAGTTGTACCTTATTCGCCCCGTGCGTGACTGACGCGACACCTACCGCCTTCATCTAACAATTTTGGAGTCCCAATTTTCAGGTTAAACATATGACATATGTTTGACATTTTTAAATACATGCGAAATTGACAATTATTAATAAATTAGTTTTTTACCTATATTTTTTCAGTTTATCTACAAAATAAATGTAGTATTAAAAACTGGGTTTCTCAAAATTCATCATAATATATCTTTTCAACTCCAAACGGAAAAGAAAGGGAAAATCTAGTACTGGCAAATCAAGTATTTCACACAAAAGAGCATATAATTAAAAACAATAATAGTAAAAGTTATAATATAAATATAAAAGCTAAAGTCATCTGCAGTTAGCTTGAAGCCTTATGAAATATCATTCAAGGTAAATTATTTAAATTTTTCCTATTTCAATTGCATAAAAATGAAATTATGTGATAGGTATTTACTTTTTCATAATAATAGCACGAATTCATCTTTTTCTTTTCTCTAATTTATAAGTAATCTTCGGGAACCTATAAAAACTACACTCACTGTTTTTGCGCTATTATTAGCACAATTAAATACGCAACATGTATTTGCAGACATTTTTGATAAAATTTATGCGTAAAAATATTTTGTCCAATATTCCAATTTTGTCATATTTCGCCGCTACGCACGCTGGCATCGTTTCACTGTATCCCTACCATGGTCACGCACGGAGCGAATAAGTTGTATGGCTTATTTAAAATTAAGTAGGCTGATGTCATCTAAAAACGAAAGATTACTTATGATACTATAATAACAAGATATGATCTTCCCGTAGCACAAAATAGGTCGTGTTCGCGCATGCCGTCATTGGAGAGTATAATTTGAATTCTTGTTAAAGTTAAATGGGATTTTTATGCATTCTGTGATGAAATTACTAGACGAAAATAAGTTAAGAGGTGTAGTAATTACAATAATCGTACACATAAGAATACCTCCAAACTATTTATTAAAGATTATTCATTGATACATACAAAAAACTGACATTTCGAACGTCAAACTCTCCAATGACGTCACGACTTATGCGCAATATCTTATCTTCTTAGTCTTAGTATCATGAGATTACTTATGTTATAGCAGTTTTTTGTCAAAATACTACGTCATAATAATTTTTTAAATGCGAAAATGCGGGATATGGTTTGTGTTTATGCACAAGCAAATTATACAGAGCGTGCTGCTGCTTAAAAATATCTGTAATTCTAGAATAACAGACGACAACCCATTACAGGACTGTTAGAAATATTTACGACCGGTTAACGCAAACTTGTCAATTCCATCCAAAGCGAGATCTAAGACGTCCAAAAATAATTACAGTAAATCACAAGTTTGTTAGTAAGCATTGCTAATGAACCTCGGTTAAGTATCCGACGCTTAGCAATAACTTGAATAAGCCATGCTTCAGTTTTCGGAATATTAAAAAAGAAGACTTAAGAAATTACCGTTTTACTTCAGTGCAGAACTTGCTACCCATAGATCTTTCTGGACGAATGGAATTTGCACAATTTGTTAAAAATATGATAAATGTAAGGAAGAGTTGGCTAAAACAGGATAGTCTGGTAAAACGCGATACCGACGATAATTTAAAAATAAGCGGGAAGCTATCTAATGACCGGGAATGTTAATCACTGCAGAATCTATTTGAATATAGCAGGAGGTTACTACAAGACAGGAATAATACCAGTAGAGTGGTTCAAATCGAAGTTCGTACCTTTGCCTAAAAAACCAGGAGCAAAAGTTTGTGAAGATTATAGGACCATAAGCCTAATCTGCTGAAACTGTTTTTAAAAGTCATCCACAAAAAAATTTACCAGAAATGAGAGGAACAAATTGCGCCCAACCAGTTTGGGTTTGTGAACGCCGTTGGTACAAGGGAAGCTTTATTTAGCGTGCAGGTATTGTTTCAGAAATGTAGAGATGTCAGCTGTAATGTTTGTGTATGCCTGATTGACTACAAGAACGCTTTCGATAGAATCAGGTATGAATCAGCTTTATGAATTTCGGATTCTAGTGCAACAATGTTATCAGCTGTCTATGTGTCTGAACGGTATCCGCGTTGTATTGGAGTAAAAAGTTTTTTCTTTTCCAAGTGCCATTTCAGTCTTTTACTCAATATTATCTCTATTGTTTTGCAAATGTTACTGGTGAGAGCTATTGGATGATAGGAGGATGGTAAGTTTTTTGGCTTATTCGAAACGTTTTTTTTTGTGTAAATATTGTTAAACATGTCAATTAAAATTTTCTTTACCGTTTCAGGTAGTTTCTCAATGAATATTGTTGGAATATTATCAGTTTCTGAAGAAGTTTTTTTAGCATTGTCTAGGCTTTCGTTTAACTCGTCTAGTGACATCGGTATATTGAGAGGGCATAAAACATCTACTATTTGGATTTGTGACCATTCGGTTTTCTCTTTGTATTTTAAGAATGTAGAGTTGTATTGATCATCGCTCGAATATAGTTAATAGTGATCAGCTAATATTTCTACAATTTCTTGTTGATCTGAAGTAATTAAGTTATCTGTAGCAATGGTGTCGATATGATTAATTTTGGTTGAGCCTTTTATTTTCCTTATTTTCTGCCAAATATCACTTATTGGTGTAGATAAATTTATTGATGAGACATAATTGGTCCAGCTTTCTTTTTTAGATTTTTTTATTAGAAATCTAAATCTGTTATGATATCATTAAAATTTATTATTGTGATGTTTATATCTTCTAATATATTGAAGTCTTTCATTCGTTCAATAAACTAATGTACTTTTCCTAGTCTGCTGATTTTAATTTCCATGTTTCATTTGGTTTTATATTAATGTTTGTGTCTTTAATATGTGTAATCAAAATTGGTAGATGCTCGCTGTCAAATAAGTGTATTCCACTCAAGTAGTAGTGCTAAAGTTGAATTGCTGAGGGATAAATAGATGGTTAAAAACGTGCCATTGTATGAGTTGAAACGGGTAGGCATTCCTGCATTTAATAGCACCAGTTTGAGGTTGTTAATTATTTCTAATAGAGTTTTGCCCTTTTTGTCAGTTTTCGCAGATCCCCAAGATTTGTTATGACAATTTGTGTCAGCAAGAATTAATTTAGGAGATGGAATTTGTACTATCACTTTTTGTGGTTTTAGAAGTATGCATTCTTTCTGATGTGGTAAATGTACACTGCAAATGTTAATTTTGAAATGTGAACTATTGAGACTGCAACAGCTTCCAGATTTGTATCTTACGAAATTTCTTTAGAATCGACCGTAAGTTTCACAAATATGCCAACACTACCGCTAGCTGTTTGTTGCACCGGTCTATTTTTGATATATGGTGTATAGTTTATCAATTTTACAATATTATTAGAAAGTTGTGTTTCTTTTAAATATATTAATATAAGAAGTAATACGGAGGATGAACACAACTGCGGATTTGGTCAACATCGTGAAAGGCCGTAAGCTGCAGTACTTGGGACATATAATGAGAAATCAAGGCAGATACGAGCTACTTCAATGCATTTTACAAGGTAAAATTAATGGAAAAAGGGCCCCAAGACGAAAAAGAATATCCTGGCTTGCTAACCTGAGAGCATGGTATAGAAAGACCTTAACATAGCTATTTCGTATAGAAACCAACAAAATTATCATAGCCAGAATGATCGCCAACGTTCGGAACGGAGAGGCACCCTAAGAAGAAGAAGAATATAAGAGTTATCTGTTCCATGTATCTTTTTTAAGATCCTTGAAATGTTGTTTTTAAGACGGCCATTTCTAGGCCATTTGTATAATCCTTTGCTACGTTTTCAGGCAACTTTGAACCCATAGCATTTGTAATATAGTCGCATAGTTCTGTGTATTTTAGTATGTAAGAAGTAGTAGCTGACGATAAAATGGCTTCTATAGGTTTTATTGAGGTTTCGATGTTCAAAACTTTTTTAATCCTTTTAGATTCAGATTTCTGACTATTATTTCAGGAGATGTTGACATTTGCCTTTTTATAGAATAGAATTTATAGATTAAGATAGCTGAACAATATTTTGTATATTAATTGGTTCGATAGTGCAGTTTTCATCTTTGTGTCCTGTGGTATGACATGTGGAGCAGTTTAGGCCATCTAAGGAAAAACAAATTCTAAAAGGGGTATTGTCATGAGATATTAGAAGTGAATTTCTGATATAATTATTAGTTGTTGGAGCAACAAATACTTGACGCCTAAAGCTTAATATATGGTTGTATTCACATTCAGGCATGCCAACTTTTAAAAATGTTATTTAAGACACTTCAATAAGCTCTAATTTTTTAGCTCTTCTTCGATAATAGTGTTTGGAACACTCGTGCAGAAATTTAATACCACTAGTCGGCTCACAGGAGTAATTAATCTTCTAATGTTTATGTCGCTTCCTTGTATTGAAACGGACTTGGGATTATGCAGTAATTTTTCTAAGATTGTAGTGTTACTGACAGAAATGCATACTCTGTTGAGATTCTGGACGCGAAGATGATATTTTTTGGTTGTACTAAAGTTCCTATTGATGTTATGTATTCGTGTATTTTTATATCCGGTACTGATGACAAAACAATTGTTTGTTCTTTGGATGGAAAGTTAAAGTTGCTTACGGCATTAGAGTAGGTTAATGTTGAAGAAGAGGTTTGTGCTGAAGATGTTAATAATAGTTTGGTGATTACTGTGGCAGTTTTTAAAGTGTTATCCATTCTTAATTTTTATTGTCCTCATTTAATAGAATTAATTCTGGAGCCGCTACTGACTTAAGGTAATTAGCCGGCTTATCGGCGTTTTTATTTGAAATTAAAAAATAGATCTTCTGTTGTTTAGTTTTTAATAAAATCCTTTAAATGGTTTTATGTGAATCAAATAAAAATTGTAGTTACAATTTTGCTCTTCTGTAATTAGAAAACACTCTTAAAATTTCACTTTTAGTAAAAACTTAAATTTTTGGTGTAAATCAGATATAAACTAACAAAAAACAAATTTTATTCGGAGCTGAAATTTGTCGACACTTTTCTAATGGGTACCTTTTTTCAAGTCAAAACGAACTGAATATTTTATTTAAGTTTTTTTAGGTTAAATATTCGTATTTTGTGCTAAGGTTTCTCCAATTACTATATGGACAATTCTTAATTAAACATCCTATATAAATCAACAGTAAAGCCAATAATAACGTACACAGCGGATATAAGAGTCGATACAGCCGAAACACAAAGATTATTGGAGACAGCAAAAAGCCTTACGAAAAATAATAAACCAAACGCTACAAAATAGAGTAGGAGGTGAGAAATAGAGGAAATAAGCATGTGGACAAAAAGAAGAAAATAAAAAAGAATCAACATATAGAACGAATGACAGAACAGTAAGAATAGCAAGAGGCAGATCACCAATCGAAAGAAGAGCAATACGGTCACTAAGGAAAAGATGGTCCGACATTAGTTAAAGCTAAAAACGGAAGTAAAACAGGAATGCCCCTATCAATAAAGAAGCGACAGAAGAACAAATCTAGATATTTACTTCTCTAGTTACTTCTTTACTATCTACTTCTTGACCACTGTTCTACTAGTATCGATTAGTCGCTAGAGGCAATGCACTTTTAGTTAATTAAATTAGATGTAGTAAAAAACTACAGTATATGAATATAATTTTAGCTTCTGCTTGGTATACTTGTAACACAAACAATGATTGCTGCGGGTGGAGCTGCGGAAGACACTCAAGCTCAAGCAGTTATCGACCTAGCCAATGACATATTAAATAGGATACCAAGTGTTTTTGACATTGAATATGTTGATGAAAAATATCCCGTTATGTATACAAATTCAATGAATACTGTCTTAAAACAAGTAAGTATATATTTAATTGATCTGTAGCTAAATAATCTAAATACAAATATTTATATCGAATTTTCAACTAACACTATAATAGGAATTAAGAAATAAAGATAATTTATGTTATTACGTCAACTATCAAAATATTTTCCTTTTGTTAGGAGCTGATTCGATTTAATCGGCTAATTATAGTCGTTAAAAAATCACTGAGGGATATGATTAAAGCTGTACAAGGATTGGTAGTAATGTCACCCGAACTTGAACAAACCTGTGAAGCTCTTGTTGTAGGAAAAGTTCCTGAAGTTTGGGCAAGCAGAAGTTATCCAAGTTTGAAACCATTAGGTTCTTACGTGAATGATCTGATCGCAAGGTAATATAAAACTGAAATGTTTTTTACAGAAATACTTGGCGTTTTACCAATACAAATATTACCTAAAATTAACGTTTATTTAAATAAATACATAGCAGTGATTGCGATTTTTGACTGACAGTGATTACCGTTCTTTTGTGTACAGTAACAGGTAGTAACAATAAACATAAACACGATCGCGACCACTCTGCCTTAAGTAGTATTATAAAAACATATAAATAATTAGTTACTATTTAACTGGGAATAAGCCAAAATTAAAGGTTAAAAGTTTATTGACGTTTCAATTTCCACTTCGGAAATCGCTCTCAGATTTTTCTCAAATTCAGAGAACGATTTCCGAAGTGGAAATTGAAACGTCAATAAACGTATTTTAACCTTTAATTGTGTCTTATTCCCAGTTAAATAGTAATTAATTTAAAATGCTACAAGAAAATAGCTTCAGAACAATATATAAATAATATTATTGAAACTGTTTAACTGACGCAAATAAATGGTTTCACTTATCACAATAAATTTAAAATTTATTTATTTATAAATTATATGATTAATCATCATTAACAACCATTCTATCCAGCGTGGATAGAATTCCTTAGGGGTGTCCATTTATGACTGTTTGTTATTTTTTGCATCCATTCATGACCAGCCTCTCGCTGATACGAGCTTGATGCCATCAGTCCATTTGGTTTGAGGTCTACCTCTACTTCTCTTGTTTGCTCTTGGTCGCTATTCAATAATTCGCTTTTTAATAATAATTTTAGTAATAACCGCTAATAGTTTTTCATGGTGTAATTCTAACTCAGTTTTAGATTTTCTAGATACATTTACTGGATGTGAGGGATGTAACATTGATATCAAATTTATACTACAGCCAACGATCAAATGTGAAAATTGTAACAGAAGTGTCAGAAGAAGTCGAGATAAGGAGAGGGGTCAGGCAAGGTTGCATTTGTAAACGAGACAGTTGGCATAAACGTGAACAGAAGTTTAATTAACAACATTAGGTATGCCGACGATACAGTCATAATAGCAGACAACTTGGAAGACTTAGAAAGAATAATGAACAAAATATTAAGATATAGTGGAGAATACGGACTCTCTCTTAACATAAAAAAACAAATTCATAAAAATTAGCAAGAACAACAATACAACTGAAATATTAAAGGTAGGCGGCCAGCAGATTGAGAGAGTAAAAAGATATACTTACTTGGGAACGATAATCACAGAAAATAACGATTATACTGCAGAGATCAGAGTCAGAATTGAAAAAGCACGTGCTAACTTCGCGAAAATGAAAAAGATTTTATTCAGCAAAGATCTGAAATTTGCCCTCAGAATAAGGGTAATTAAATGCTATATACACAGTGTACTCTACTATGGAGCTGAATCATGGACATTAAACCGGAATACAATAAATCGACTTAACTCGTTTGAAATGTGAACATTTAGAAGATTGTTAAGGATTCCCTGGGTAGATAGACTCACGAATGCAGAAGTGTTAAGGAGAATATGCAGCGAGAGGGAAATGGAAAATACAATAAAAAAAAAAGAAAATTGCAATATCTTGGACATGTAATGAGAGGCGAAAGATTCAACATTTTGAGACTCATAATTCAAGGAAAAATAGATTGTTCAGAGCAGCTGCCTGGAAGGTCAGAATAGCCATGATAATTGCCAATCTTCGTCGCGGAGATGGCACTTGAAGAAGAAGAAGAAGAATACATTAAGATCTTTGTCGTTGTTTAAAAAAAAAACAGAATTCTTGCAGGTTTCAACTCTAGGTAGTCTAAAGGAAAGATTCGGAAAACACTTCACAAAGACTCTCCTATAGAATTTGTATCTTGTGCAATCAGAAAATTTTATTTTAAAAGTGTTGAATAGCTTATTAAGATTGAGGCCCGGACTGACCTTCTTTTTCACTTTTTGATTGACTGTAGTGGCTCTCATTCCTCAGAAAACTATTGATGTGATTTAATTACTATTTAACTGGGAATAAGCCACAATTAAAGATAAAAATACGTTTATTGACGTTTCAATTTCCACTTCGGAAATCGTTCTCAAAATACAAACAGTAAATTAAACAACTTTTGTTTTTTGTTACATAATTTTATCTGACTTATTTATATTGACAATTCAGATATACATTATGCATTTTAAAGTAGACAACTTTAAAATGATATTGCCAATATTGTTGAGTTGCGCTCCTGGGACGACTTTACTTATAAGATAGTTCATTCGATTACATGAAATCAACTTTAACTTGAGAATATTCGTCAGAAAAAAATCATAGCATGCAATTTGTCTTTAAAAAGACAAACACATGACATGATGGCAGTAAAATTCTCCTGTTAGTGATTCCATAGTAAATTATGAGGGAAAAACCAGGAAAAAAACCTCATAATACTATCCCGACATTGTAAGTATTTCTTCGTGAATTTAGTTTACCTTCAACAAATATCAAAATTCTGATTTTATATGTTACTAAAAATACACAACATTTTTTAAATAAATTATCAAATACTGAATTTAATTCAAATAATACTTTGGTAAGTTTTGACATAAATAGTGTATTTACGAATGTGCCATTAAATAAGACTTGAGGTATAGTGAAGACAAAATTAGAGAGTGATGATTCATTGGCAACTAGAACAAGACTAAACATATCGGCTATAATGGAGTTATTAACATTATGTACTGATAATACATATTTTCAACTCAATAATGAATTCTATAAACAAAATTTTGGTCTAGCAATGGACTCTAGTTTACTCCATTCTCAGACGATATATTTATGGAAGATTTTGAAACAAATATCATTTTTAAACAAAATTTCAAACCCATAGTATGGTGGAGGTATGTAGATGATGTATTCTCAATATGGCCTCATGGATCAGAGTTGTTGGACACATTCCTAAACGATATAAACGATAAAGAAGAGACAATAACATTTACCATGGAAAAGGAATATAATAACACGCTACCTTTCCTGGATGTTTTAATCTCTAAGAACGATACTGGATATGAGACTCAGGTGTATAGAAAACCAACACACACCAATAGATATTTAAATTTCAAATCAAATCACAATATTAATGTAAAATAGGGAATAATTAAATCCTTATACGATAGAGCCAAAATTACTTTTTGTAACGAAAATTCGTTCTTGGAGGAGAAACATTTGTTAACATCTGTTTTATTAAAAAATGATTTTCCTTTATCGTTTATAAATAAGGAATTTTCAACAATCGATCGAATAGAACAGAACAACTTAGAACGAGATCCTACCGCATACACAAGGAATAATATGAGGAAAATAACAATACCGTACATAAAAGGATTATCAGAAAAACTTAAAAGGATAGGAAATAAATTCAACACTTCAACAAAATTCAAAACAACAAACACGTTGAGATCTATTTTGTCCAAAACCAAACCTAACAATGAACAAGAAAGGACAAAGAATTGCATTTATAAAATACCTTGTGAATGCAATCAGTTTTATTTAGGTGAATCATCATCGCCATTAAATGTTAGAATAAGTGAACATCAATCTTATATTAAAAATAGAGAATTTGATAGATATCAAATATGTAAACACGCATGGGATAATGAACATAGGGTTCAATGGAATAATTCAAATGTAGTCCTAAAAGAAACGGATGGTAAAAAAAGAAAAATCTCGGAGCGCAACTCAACAATATTGGCAATATCATTTTAAAGTCGCCTACTTTAAAATGCATAATGTATGTCTGAATTGTCAATATAAATGAGTCTAATAAAATTAAATTATTAGAAGAATTTTTCACTATGTAACAAAAAACAAAATTTGTTTAATTTACTGTTTGTATTTTGAGAACGATTTCCGAAGTGGAAATTGAAACGTCAATAAACGTATTTTTAACTTTAATTGTGGCTTATTCCCAGTTAAATAGTAATTAATTTACAATGCCACAAGAAAATAGCTTCAGAACAATATTGCTATGATATTTTACTATCTGTCTATCATGAAGAATCTACTCAAAATTTTTAACACCTGCTCGTTTATCCTTTAAGGTTTTGTATCTCTCCTTTTTTTGGCTAACAAGATTAGTAACCTTTTGGAGACTTACAGCAAATATTTTTAAAAACGTTATTTACAAACCCTTTTCACATTACTTCATCCATCTGGAATAGCAAAAGCTACGGTACACTGTCTTGTACTTTCTGATGGATTATCGTAACTACCATTGGTCATTGGACATTGGACTGGTAAAATTTGCAATAATCCTATGAGATAGCTGCCTTGTTCGTTAAATTTAAGGCCATGATACAAGTCGAAAAGTTTAATTTTCATTTCAACCACGTCCTTCAGCTAAATTTACATTTGCATGTGATCTAAAATAGCAAAATCTCATGATAACATTATATCAACAAAGCCAAAGTAACAAGAAAAAAAGTTTTAGGTTGTATCTGTTAAAAATCTCGTACAAATTTCATGTTTTGACACGGCTTTTCAGGTTTTTTTCAGCTTACATTTTTGTGTAACATAGAGTTTTCCACTCAATCTAGCTTCACTCTGTTTTTTTTTTCTTGTTGATTTCGTTTTCTTTTTATCACCAAACGCAATATAATGCATTGTATTTACTTAAAACACAAATATGTAGACAATATCAATCGATTCTAATGACAACACATTAACATTAACATGCATACTGGCACTTAGATCAATTAACAAAGATCATGATGCCGGACTTACAGGCGGCTTCATCTTTGGGCTTCGTTTGGCACCTCTAGAGTGAAGTTGGCACATAGATCTCATTGGAAGATATTGGCATAGGAACATAAATGATATTGATAAAAAAAAAACAAAATTTAAATTTTGGACACTTAGATCATTTATCTCGGCCACTCTTCAATTAGTCTGGCATTAATAAAGGAAAGATCATGTATAAAGATCGGTTTCCCATTTAATTCTAATAAGTTTATTACTAGTGGACCAAGTAATCGAAGATATCTATTAAAAC